GAGGGAGGAAAGAAAGGCAAAAGTTCCCCCCCAAGCCAGCCATCTCTCTCTCTCTCTCTCTCTCCTCTCTCTCTCTCTCCCCCCTCTCTCTCTCCCTCCCCCCCTCTCTCTCCCTCTCCCCAGCAGCACCGGAGCACAGAGAGGAGAAGAGACGACACTTTCCCCTCTGCTTGCCTGGAGGGGAGGGGCTTTCCCTGCTCTTTGTTCCGTTTCAGCAATCACAGCAACGAAACAGAGGAGGGTGGGCAGTAAGACCCTGAGGCAGAATGCAGGAAAGCTGCCACTTCCTCTTTTCAGGTTTCCCTTCTCCGTGAACGCGATTTGACTTTTGCTTGATTTTTTGGCTCCAGGGACCACACATTCGCTCTATAACACGCACAGACATTTCCCCTTCCTTTTTAGGAGAAAAAATCTGCGTGTTATAGAAGCGAATGTGGTCCCTGGAGCAAAAAATCAGCAAAATCAAAACCCGTTCACGGAGAAGGGAAACCTGAAAAGAGGAAGTGGCAGCTTTCCTGCATTCTGCCTCAGGGTCTTACTGCCCACCCTCCTCTGTTTCGTTGCTGTGTTGCTGAAACGGAACAAAGAGCAGGGAAAGCCCCTCCCCTCCAGGCAAGCAGAGGGGAGTTCTCTTTGCTCCTCTCTGTGCTCGGTGCTGCTGGGGGAGAGGAGAGAGAGAGGGGGGGAGGAGAGAGAGAGGGGGAGAGAGAGAGAGAGGAGAGAGAGAGATGGCTGCTTGGGTGGGGGGAAACTTTTGCCTTTCTTTCCTCCTCCCATTAAATCCCTTTCCTGCATTCTTAGCCAGCTGCTTCTCTGCACACCCCTCTCATGTCCCTTCTTTGTTTTTCCTTCGCTCCCCACTTAAAATGTGGTTACAAAGCATCAGATCCACATGGATCCTCAGGATCTTTGCATTGGGTCACCCCAAATTCACCATCAGATCACATAGCATGTCCCATGGCTACAGCCTGCCCCCCCAAAATCATGCACCCACTGTTGCCTGGGGCTGCAATAGTGCAAAAACGTGGTTAAAAAAGCATGGATCCACATGGATCCTCATGATCTTTGCATTGGGTCACCCCAAATTCACCATCAGATCACATAGCATGTCCATGGCTACAGCCTGCACCAAAAAAATCACGCACCCACTGTTGCCTGGGGCTGCAATGGTGCAAAAACGTGGTTAAAAAGCATGGATCCACAGGATCTTTGCATTGGGTCACCCCAAATTCACCATCAGATCACATAGCATGTCCATGGCTACAGCCTGCACCAAAAAAATCACGCACCCACTGTTGCCTGGGGCTGCAATGGTGCAAAAACGTGGTTAAAAAGCATGGATCCACAGGATCTTTGCATTGGGTCACCCCAAATTCACCATCAGATCACATAGCATGTCCATGGCTACAGCCTGCACCAAAAAAATCACGCACCCACTGTTGCCTGGGGCTGCAATGGTGCAAAAACGTGGTTAAAAAGCATGGATCCACATGGATCCTCAGGATCTTTGCATTGGGTCACCCCAAATTCACCATCAGATCACATAGCATGTCCATGGCTACAGCCTGCACCAAAAAAATCACGCACCCACTGTTGCCTGAGGCTGCAATGGTGCAAAAACGTGGTTACAAAGCATGGATACACAGGAATTCTCAGGATTTTTGCATTGGGTCACCCCAAATTCACCATCAGATCACATGTCTGTGGCCACAGCATGAAGCACAAAAATGATACATCCACTGTTTCATTCAGAATGTTTTTTCCCTTGTTTTCCTCCTCTAAAAACGATGTGCGTGTTATGGTCAGGTGCGTGTTATAGAGCGAAAAATACGGTAAGCTGTTTTTTTTATACAAAAGCACAGGCGGAGTGGGGAGGGAATAGGTATCTAATCTGAGGCTATTCACAACCTGTATCTGGGATTGTGAGCATCAACATTTAGTAGTAGCAGTAGTAATAACAATAATGATAATAATAAAAAATGACTTATATCCCCCCCCAATCTGGCCGGGTCTCCCCAGCCACAACATTTTATAAATGTTGATTATGCTTGGGGGTGGAGGGAAAACCCCTGTTTCCAAACCCACCACCACCCAAGGGCCTTTCCCTTCCCGCGCGTGCGTAAAAACCACGGTCGCCCAGAACAAGGGGGAGGAGAGGCTTCAAAGTGCAGCTGTTGGGGGGGCGCCTCCTTTTGCAGCTGGATTTGGGCGCATCAGCCTCAAACATTAAGACGACTCCCCTCCCCAGCCTTCCCCCCAAATGCAAGCTCCGCGTCTCCCACCGCCGCCCGCCGCGTGGTACCTCGTCGCCTCTTTCGTCTCCTGCCCGCCGCTCCTCGCCTGGGAATCCCGACGACGAGCCTCTTTCCTCCCAATCCAAATGGAGGTGCGTCGGCGACGGTCTTCCCCCACTTTCAAAACTTCCTGCCTCTCTAGGAACCACAGCTCGGTTTGTTTAACCCTCGCAGGGCTGCATCTCTCAGCTCCTCCCTGCGCGCGCGCGTCGTTCTTCGTTCCAGATGGAAGCAAATTTTGAAGGGTTGTGGTTGCTTTTGATGCATTTATACATCAAATTTATGCATCCGTCAAACCAGGGAGCAGTTCAGCCACAAAGCATATGGGAAATCTTATGCAAACAGATGGAGTTATGCTTTCCAACTCAGGGTAACTGAACCCAGAATTATAAATTAGTATATAATATAATGTAATAATTATTAAGTTTCCTTCTCCCCCCCCCAAAAAAAAACATGTTAAACCCGTAACAAACAAAGGAAAGAAATCTCTGTCTCTTACAATACTACATAAATATATTCAATCTTGACCCCCGCAAAAATCCAATCTTAGATTTTGCGCTTTGGATCTATTATGTTAAGTTTTTGCCATCACTGCATGGTCCCAATAAATTTTTGCACAGTTCTTCAGTGATGGGTCTTTTAAAAATGTTTTTTGGCTGTAAGGAATTCAAGCCTGCTGTTCTTTTTGTGATTGGACAACATTTAGCTCGGTGAGTCTATGTTTGGTAAAGAAGCACATAAACTGCTGTTGGAAACCCAAATAATTTTATTTTTACTTTCTGAAAATGTCAGGCAAAGCTAAATAATAATAATAATAATAATAATAATAATAATAATAATAATAATAATAATAATAATAGCAAGTACTTAGCAATCATTTTTAATGATTTCTATGCAATTTTACACATTTTGCTTACCAAGCAAATTATATCAAATTAACCAAAATATCTTTTGAATTCTCAAGTCATGTTACAACTTTTTAGCATCCCTCATTTTTTGAAGTGGAAAGCTGAAAAATTCAAAACACCCTAATACACCAGTATAGATGTACAGTGCAACTTCCTGTGGCATGGCATGTCACAACTCTGGGCCAAAGATCTCAAAATATCACTCCCCATACACAAGTTCAGGTCTATAGCATGTGGTCAGCAGAAACACCATTAGGCTTGGTGACATCTGACAGTCAGATCCTTAATCTGCCCCAGTCCACAGGAAGGTTTCTGACCAGAAGCTGAAATCAGCTTGAATAATGTATTTAAACTACAATAGCAGGAGATAAGTGAATTTCAGTTTATGAAGCACATCTACATAATAATATTATCAAAAACAGTGATATGCACGTTGCACAAAAAAGGAATCCTGGGAAAGGGAAACTGAATGCAAGGGGGGGAAATAGGATACAAGAATTACACAGGACACAAAATATGAAGAACACAATAATTATACTGAAATAGAAGGAAATTTTGAAGCACTGAATAAAATGTCTATTAGAAGCCATATGGTATACAAACTAGTAATGATTTCATTTACTAAATTACTCCCAACAGGTCAAGCCGATCAGTGGCCCTGCTACATTTCCACTATTCAGTCACTTTTTAAAAAACGTTAGACATGAATTTTATAACTGCCTTTGTAAGCAGGAGTTTGAAAGGTTCTGTGCATTCTTTGGAGATTTAAGAGGTGAATCTAGGATCCAAAGAGCTTAGATGGGGAGGACAAATTATATATGTATACACACAGAGACACTCTTCTTATTTCATGCTAAAAGCTACAAAAAGCTAAGTCTGATCAAAATTATTCCTGAAGCCCCATACCCAAAAGGACTGGTTCAGAGGGAAATGGCAAAAAACCAGTTTGAAACTCTCTGAAAGAGAGGGTGGAAGGTCAGCTGGGCTCCAAAATGAGAGAGAGAGAAATCTAGTAGCCAACCTGAAGTTCAGCAAGCAAATGGAGTGAGCGGGAAAGGTTTGCCAACACTGAATTTGTGAGTTTTTGCCATGGATTCAAAATGTGGCCTGGCCATATTTTACTTGAAGAATGAAAAAGAGATTAGGAAGATCTGAAGGACTCTTTAATGCTTTTTACTGTTTATATTACTGTCCATATACATATGTGTGTGTGTCTAAATTAAAGAGCTTATAAGAATACTATGGGACTATATAAATTAACACTGAACCAGTAGCCTCACCAGATGCGTCCATTCTGACAAGAGAATATCTATCACTTCAGATGACAACCTAGCTCCTAACCCAGGTGTGAGAAATGTAACTTAGATAACTTTCTGCCATGTATTTTTTTTTTAAAGTGTATTAAACATTTGTTTCTCAAGTTCTTTCAATGCAGCATGCATTTTTCTGGTTTCCCTATGGGGGTTCTCTGATGTGAAGCAAGGCTTTTCTGAACAGAAGTATTTCCACAAACTCTGCATTTATATGGTTTTTCTCTTAGATGGGGAATCCCCCTCAAAAGCTTCTACCAGTGTTGAACTTTTTCTAGTCTATACATTCATGTGGGTTCTTTCATGTTTTCTAAGAGTTCCACCATCACGGAAGCTCTTTCCACAGGCCATACATTTATATGGTTTCTCGCCTGTGTGGATTCTTTTATGTTTAGTAAGACTTCCATTCACACTAAAACTTTTTCCACACTCTTCACACTTATACGGTCTCATTCCTGTGTGGGTTCTTGCATGTATGACAAGATTCCCACTGTCACGGAAGCTCTTTCCACATTCCATACATATGTATGGTTTCTCCCCCGTATGCTTTCTTTCATGTGTTTTAAGGCTTCCACTCACGCTGAAGCTTTTTCCACATACCAAGCATTTATATGGTTTCTCCCCTGTGTGAGTTCTTTCATGCTCACTAAGAGTTCCACTGTTTCTGAAGCTCTTTCCACACTCCATGCACTTATATGGTTTCTCCCCCGTGTGGATTCTTTTATGTGCTTTAAGGTTTCCATTTGCACTGAAGCTTTTCCCACATTCCAAGCATTTATATGGTCTCTCCCCTGTGTGAGTTCTTTTGTGTTCAGTAAGACTACCCCTATCTCTAAAGCTCTTTCCACACTCCATGCACTTGTATGGTTTCTCCCCTGTGTGGGTTTTGCAGTGTCTAGTGAGAGTTCCCCTATCTCTAAAGCTCTTCCCACACTTCATGCAATCATATAGTTTCACCCCCGTGGGGGTTCTGTGGTATCTATTTAGTACTGATTTATCTTTGATCATTTCCCCAAAGACGGGACACTTTTTTAGTTGCTTTCTTTGGTGATATTCTGGGTTCAGAAGTTCAAGGTCATCAGCACCCAGAGAAGTAGAGGATTCTTTCCTTCCATTCTTTGATTGATTTCCCTCAGCTCTCTTTTGTCCTGACGGATTTCCAAGCATCTCCTTTCCTGCTTTCTGCTTGCATGTTCCTGCTGACTCACTATAGTTTTCACTGTTGTACTGATCACCTCCTTGGAGGGGGAAAAAAACAGGAAAAAAGCCAATTTTGTTAGGACTTCAAAGCCAAAATCAAGGATTTCATTAGACATCGAGACTGATTACCCCTGACAAGTTTAAAGAGCAAGATCATCAAGGAATCTGCCTGAATACCCAGACAAGACCAGGTCCCACCACAAACTGAAGCACATACCTGCCAATCTCTCTCCTTCCTCACAGATCCAGAAAAATGGCTCTTCACCTCCTTCCAGGCGGGAGATGAGGACTGGCTTAGGAATTTCTTTCAAAGAAACAGACAAAATATTCAGGCATTCTCTCATTCATTAATTGCCTTCCAAATATATGAGCCGAGGTACAGAACATAGCAAGAACAGTTAGAAAGTGGGCGTCTTACCAACGAAAGTTGGTTAAAGGCACTCCGAGCCACCAAAGACCCGTGTCTGCAGGGGAAGAGCTGGATCCAGGAGCACCCCTAAACTGCACACTTGCTCCTTCACAGAAAGTGCAACAAGGGAGGTCAGTTACTGACTTCCCGGACTCAGGGCACTCATCCACCAAGCCTCTGTCTTGTCAGGATTCAGATTCAGTTTATTTGTTCTCATCCAGTCCACCACTGTATTCAGACTCCAGACTAGGGCCTTCTGCCACTCCCAGTTAGGATGTTACAAAGAAAAAGAGTTGGGCATTATTAGGTGTAATGGGAATTGGGGTTGCTTGTGCGTAAACTCCCCAACCGTTCCACGCTGGTTGTATAGCTAAACCTTTCCCTGGTTTGACAGCCCTCACAACGCGACTGTCTCAATCACTGGCAGAATCCGTCAGTGGGCGTTTCCTGAACTTCTTCCAACATAAGAATTCCTTGACAGCAAGTCTCCGCCTAGCTTCTCTGCGCGGAAGCCTTCTGCGCAGAGTGGGCGTGCCAAGCGGAGGTCCTGCACTCTCCCTGCTGATCTCACTGGAAGAGTCCCGGAGCCTCCCCTCCAAAGTACTCTCAGCCTCCCCTTTCTTCCTGGTGTCACCTTGATTTCCTTCCCCAGCGGAAGCGCTCTCGCTCTCTCCTTGCTAGTTCCCTCCCCTGCATCATTGGGGCGACTTCCCTCTCCGCTAGTCTCTGATGTCAGTTCCCTGACATTAGGCAATTACTGAAGGATGCAATGGAAACAGCGAAGTACGTCCTCTCCACAGCTTCACTGTCACACGGCAGACACGGTTGTGTTCTCTAGCTTATAACCGCAGTGGGACTTTTGCCACTTGTGTTGTAGCCATCATCTGCCTAGTTTCATGACACATAGTTCCTCAGTATACCAGGTAGCCAGAAATACTCCACAGCATCAGAAAGGCTGCTCATATCCATGCTCCTCTGCATTATGCTATTCTGTGGCTAGTCACCAGCTCTAACACCGAAAAAATCCCCCCAAGCATTCAGGAATCCATTGCACTCCATAGGTCTCTTGGGGCAGATGATCCTAACTGGTTCCTCATTCCTACGGGAAATTGGAAATGGAAGCCCAAACTTCACCAGGAAGTGGTCTGGCCATGACAATGGGGCTTTATTTTTTCTCTCTCAACAAATGAATAAACATCCTTACCTGGAGAGGCCACACTCTCATAATTCTCCAGCATGACTTCCTTGTAGAGAGCTCTTTGGCTTGGACCCAGGAGATCCCACTCCCCCTTGCTGAAATACACAGCCACTGCTTCAAAGGACACCAACTGCTGGGGAAAACAACAGCACACCATAATGGCCTATACTCAGAAATGTACTTCTCATGTATACAAAATTATCTGTGTATTAAACAGGGCTCCCAGTTTGAAAGGGGAAGGACTAACCGGGTGGATTTGTGTACACTTCCTAATTTTTTTCTGCAGGACTCAAGGCATCATGCAAGGGATACTGCAGAGTTCATAGCCTTACTTGGTCAACTTGACATCTCCTAAGAACAAAAGCTAAAGAGGCACATTCCTTGAAGATCTAACACCACCAAGGTGTCCCCAACCTCTCTCCACGAGGATCCCTCTCCTACCTGAGATGAGTGCATGGCAGCTCCTTCCGCTGTGCCACAAGGAAGTTATGGCCCAGACGGCACCCCTGATGCCATTGTTCTGCCTGTGGGGGAGACAAAAGTGAGGAAAGAGAGCCTGGGTCTAGGGGCAGCAGTGAAATTGTGTCATTCATGTCCCCATTTGAGGGCGGGGTAGAGAAGGAAAGGTGACGAGAACAGTTTCATCCTCTGGGAAACTCATTCAGGTTCCATGGCTTGGACCATGTAAATAACTGGAAAGAAGGGTTCGGAGGCTGCAGCAAGTGCAGAATGTGGCTGCTAGGTTGGTGAGTGGGCAGCCAATGGGACCTCGTGATACCAATCCTGAAAGCACTGCACTTGAGCTACTGGACCGCATTCAAGGTGTCAGTAAAGGTAAAGGTAAAGGTACCCCTGCCCGTACGGGCCAGTCTTGCCAGACTCTAGGGTTGTGCACTCATCTCACTCTAGAGGCCGGGAGCCAGCGCTGTCCGCAGACACTTCCGGGTCACGTGGCCAGCGTGACAAGCTGCATCTGGCGAGCCAGCGCAGCACACGGAACGCCGTTTACCTTCCCGCTGGTAAGCGGTCCCTATTTATCTACTTGCACCCAGAGGTGCTTTCGAACTGCTAGGTTGGCAGGCGCTGGGACCGAACGGCGGGAGCGCACCCCGCCGCGGGGATTCGAACCGCCGACCATGTGATCGGAAAGTCCTAGGCACTGAGGCTTTACCCACAGCGCCACCCGCATCCCCAAGGTGTCAGTACCAGCACATAAAACCCTAAATGGCTAGGGACTTGAAGTACGTAAAAGAGTGCCTTTCCAGTCATCTCAGCTCTTACAACTGGCAGGTGAGGCTTTGCTGGTGCTGCTGCAACCAAGGGCTGCCCTGTGACAGGGCCTTTCCAGTGGTGGTTCCCCAGTTGTGGAATGATCTCCCTAGTGAAGTGCACCTGTCTCAATCACTATTAACTTTAAGGAGGAATTTGAAAACTTTACTCAGGCCTTTGTTGTGTAAGGACTACTGTTCCGGGCAATCTTGAGCACACTGGATGAAATAAATGTTTTTAGTCATGTTTTTAACTGTAACTGCTTTTAGAAGTTTCTTATTGCAATTGTCTTCAGAACGCTTTTACTGTTTTCCAGTTTTGTTTTTGAAATGTTGATGTGTTTGCCACCCTGGGCTCCTTCAGCAAGAAGGGGTAAGATATAAATTCAATTCAATAAATAAATAAATAAAACAATTTAGTCTCTGCCTTTGACAGTAGCTTTAGAAAACAGGAGCCTGGTTGGTTTCAACACACAAATCCCTTACTTGTGCCTTGCTCTACTTTGAACCTTTTCCACAAAAAAGTTAGATGAAAGATTCCTTTTATTCTCTGTTGTCCATTGTAAAGGCCTTTGGTTATATAAAATAAAAATTGATTGACTGATTGACAGTGGCCAACCAGATGCCTCTTCTGAGAACTACAGAAGCTGGATTTGAGTACAAAAGCACTCTCCAGAAACTGGTTTTCAGAAGCATTGCTCCCTCCAACTGTGGAGACAGAACATAGAGCCATCGTGGCTAGTAGTCATGACAGCTCTCTCCATGAATTTATCTGATCCTCTTTTGAAGCCATTAAGGTTCATGGCTATCGCTGCCTCCTGTGGGAGAGAGTCCCATAGATTGTGCAATAGCAAGTCAAAGTAAGCAAAAGATTACACAGCTGCACAAACACTTATAAAACATTACAGCTTATGGTTAATTTTTCTTATTCTTTATATTCAGAAAATGCAGTTTTTATTTCCTTGTATACACATTTTAAGTTTACTTAATTAGTAGATTGATTGTTAAATTCCACCTTGATTGTTTCTATTGTTTTTGTAAAGAACTATGCAGAAATTTTGGTTTTAGTATGCTGGCCGTTTGGCTGTAATAATAAACATTCAACGTCCCGCAGTTTGCACGTGAATCTGCTTCAGTGGACTTAAGAGAAAAGTGGTTTGCTGGGGGGGTGGAAAGCCTTTTTCTAACCACGTTCTCCCTGCCATGCAGAATTTTCTTAACATGCCACTTCTTACCTCTCTATTTAGCTGTAATTCTAATTAGTGCTTAATTGCCTTTTAATGAATATTCCACTCCCCCACTCCCCAATGTTGGAAAAGGTCAGGATAGAAATAAATATAACAATAGCAATATTTTTCTTGAAACTAAGTAGTCCCGAAAGCTGCAAGCTTTGCTCCTTGCAGGGTGGGGAAGTCGTTCCCCGCCCTTGGTCGTTTTTTATTGCCCTTTTCTGAATCTCTTCCACCGCCTTCCTCCTCCCTATGGAGACGAGGGGCTTCCCTTCCCCGAAATAGCAGGGCCTCGGCCTCCCTTCCTCGCAAGCGGGGCAGCCTTTACCTTCCTGCCGGGCCCGTTACGCGCACAAAGCTCTCCTTTCCGCACGAAGGAATCCCAGGAAGCCTCTTTCCCTTCCGGGAATAACAACAACAACCATACAAGTGCGTCCGATATTACCGTCCCCGTTGTGACATTTCCTGCCTCTCTAGGAACCAGGTCTCTGTAGGTTTAACCCTTGGAGGACTAGAATCTCATTCTCTAGCATGGGTAGGCAAAGTAAGGCCCGGGGGCCGGATCTGGCCCAATCGCCTTCTAAATCCGGCCCGCGAATCAGTGTGTTTTTACATGAGTAGAATGTGTCTTTTTATTTAAAAGGCACCTCTGGGTTATTTGTGGGGCATAGGAATTTGTTCATTTACCCACCCCCCCACAAAATATAATCCGGCCCCCACAAGGTCTGAGGGATAGTGGACCGGCCCCCTGCTGAAAAAGTTTGCTGACCCCTGCTCTAGAGAGTTTTGCCCGTGCGCAGAACTTTTAAGCTGGCATGTAGCTGGGAGGAATGTTAAAAAAAAAATAAAAAGCAGAAAGAGGTCTGCCCCAATCACATATGAAGAAGGGGGACAGAGAGACCAATTTTTAGAGCAAAGGGAAAACGTGTGTTTTGGAGGGAGGGAAAACTAACCTCATCCAAAGGCAAAAAATCATAAGAGCTGGAAGGAACCTTGGAGATCTTCCTCTAGCCAGTTCTGGGCACCACAATTTATGAAGGATGTTGACAAGCTGGAATGTGTGCAAAGGAGGACAACAAAGATGATCAAGGGTCTGGAAACCAAGCCTTATGAGGACCAGTTGAAGGAGCTGGGTACGTTTAGCATGGAGAAGACATGGAGAAGAGATATGATAGCCACCTTCAAATATCTCAAGGGCTGTCACATGGAAGAGGGAACAAGCTTGTTTTCTCCTGCACTAGAGGGTAGGACTCAAAGTTACAAGAAAGGAAATTCCAACTAAAAATCAGGCAGAATTTTCTGGTGGAAAGAGCCGTTTGACGTTGGAATGGTCTCCCTCGAGAGGTTGTGGACTCTCCTTCCTTGGAGGTTTTTAAGCAGAGGTTGGACGCCCATCTGTCATGGATGCTTTAGCTGAGATTTCTGCATTGCAGGGGTGTTATGTCCTGAGCTGAATAGGATCCAAACTGCAGCAGTCTGATTGGTCCTAGAACAATAGGATCCAAAATGCGGCAGTCTGATTGGTCCTAGAACAATGCAGCAGTATGATTGGTCGGCAGGAGCCACCCAATCCAGCTCCAGATAGAAGTGAATCCACAACCTGATTGGCTTACAGTAGAATTCCGGAATTAGCCAATCACGTGCAGCCCATTGTGTAAATAATGTATATAAAGCAGATACTTTGAGGGGACTTTCATTCCCTCCTCACCACTATGAGCTGAATAAAGAGCATGAAATCCACTCTCGACTCTGAGTATATTTCAAGGGTGTTGAGCTAGATCACCCTTGGGGTCCTTCCAACTGTGATTCTGTGAGGACAATCACATATTGTTGCGAACAGGGTTTTTCAACTCTGACAAATATGAAAGATCAGAAGAGAAAGGCTTCTTTGTGTTGATGAGAAGATCTCAAAGCCACACAAATGGCCCGGATGAGAGGGTCTATATTGCAAAACAGTTGGAAGCCCTTGATCATTTGTTAGCTGAAGAGGGAGGGGTATGTCAAAAAACTCAGTTGGTCTGACTGTGTCTGAGGGTAGTCCTTCTAGAACATTCTCCTAAACTGTCACCTGTACAATGACCCCAAATTTCTGCTAGTTACCACTTACCGTTTTCCTTTGGTAAACAGAAATAATCTCTGGCATAAAATTACCCAGAAATGCATTGAATTTTGCCATTAGGCAAATGTTTCTCTAGGTAATGTTTCCCTCTCTTCTCAGTTTTGTTTTCTGTGTGTTTTTGCAACCTTTCATTTATTCTTGTATAATAAAGAACAGCAGCTTTTGTCCTCCACGTGTAATGAATGAAATGAAATGTTGTAAAACTACACAGAAATTTTTTTGTTGCCCTCCACCCCCAAATCTCTGAGCTACAAGAGAATCCAGGCATTCCAATGCTTACCCATCCTTCTGATTCCTTGGAATAAAGACGATGGTTATCTTTAGGATATATGGTTTTATTTGCACATATATACAGCCTTAATAAAGGATGCAGGGGCTCACAGCACAAACACTCAGATCTTGCCTTCCCATTAGGTTTCCAGGGTCAATCTCCAGCTTCCAGCATCACACACCAAAAGCAAACTCCCCCTAGGATGACTCATCATGCAATCAGGTGAGGGGTGGGTGGTGAGGTGCTTATCCCTTCCTGGAAGCATCTTCTGTTGTCACTACGCCAACACATATCTTCCTACCTAACTCTTCAAGATGCTGATGTGAGGCAATTACTTTAACAAAGGACTTGACTTGTTTCACCAGGTTTTCTCTTGTAGATTCTAACCTTTCTTCACGGAGCTAAGAAGGCAGAAAACCCAGTGGGAATAATCTAGTTGCATGTCTACCTAGCTGAATCACCTAGAGCATGTGGCCCTCCAGGCCTTTTTGGTGGCCCTCAGCAACGATTGATACTCCCCCTCCCAGCCACCTAGCAAGTAACAAGGAGGGCTCATAAGGAGCAGAAATACCTGTCTCTCCTGGGCCTTTGTTGAGATATCAGCTCATCACAGGTCTTCTTTGGGCAGTCCTAGTTATTTTGGGGCCTTGGTTGCCTTTGGTGCCCCCTCTCCCTGTGCATCAGTATATATAATAATAATAATAAATTTTATTTATACCCCACATACACACCCAGCCAAGACCGGGCTCAGGGCAGCTAACACCCGATATAAAAACAAATTGATTGAAATACAACTTAAAAACAAAATTAAAATACAACATTAAAGCATTAAAATACAGCCTCATTTCAATAGAAACTCAAATCAAAAACTTTTTGGGGGATGAAAACGTCAAGTCTTCACCAAGGCTAACTTTCCAGACTGGTCCTACATGGGCCAGAAAAAAGCCAGGGAAGTCCCCAAATAGGAGTTCCATCGCAGGAGGAGAAAGGAAAAAAGAAAGAGGGGGAGGGAATCAAATTGGCTCCAAGCCAAAGGCTGGGTGGAACAACTCTGTCTTACAGGCCCTGCGGAAAGAAATCAGATCCCGCAGGGCCCTGGTCTCATGAGACAAAGCGTTCCACCAGGCTGGAGCCAGTGTTGAAAAGGCCCTGGCTCTGGTTGAGGCTAATCTGACTTCCTTAGGGCCCGGGACCTCTAGTGTGTTGCTATTTATGAACCTTAAGGTCCTCCATGGGGCATACCAGGAGAGGCAGTCCTGTAGGTACAAGGGTCCTAGGCCGTGAAGGGCTATGTGTTGTGAATCCTGCTTCTGTACTAGCTATGCCCGCACAATTGCTAAGGCCTAGCTTGTTTAGTCTGAAAGTCTAAGGAACAGACCTCAGGCAGGTTTCTTCATTGTGTGGGTTTTCTGATGTATTTTAAGGTTTCTGCTTTTGCTAAACCTCTTCCCACACTCCTTACATTGATAGGGTTTCTCACCTGTGTGAGTTCTTTGATGTAAAGTTAGACTACTGCTCACGCTGAAGCTCCTTCCACACTCCACACATTTATATGGTTGCTCTCCTGTGTGGGTTCTTTGATGTGCAGAAAGGCTTCCACTCACACTGAAACTTTTCCCACATTCCATACATTGATACGGTTTCTCTCCTGTGTGGATTCTCTGATGTGCAGTAAGGTTTCCACACTGACTGAAAGTCTTTTCACATACCAGGCATTTATATGGTTTTTCTCCTGTGTGGGTTCTTTTGTGAGCAGTAAGACTTCCACCATCACTGAAGCTCATTCCACACTCCATACATTTATATGGTTTTTCCCCTGTGTGGGTTCTTACGTGTGAAGTGAGGTGTTGATGTTGACTGAAGGTCTTTCCACATTCCAAACATTTATATGGCTTTTCGCCCATGTGAGTTTGTCGGTGTGTATTAAGGTTTCCACTTTTGTTAAAGCTTTTCCCACACTCCATGCATACATATGGTTTCTCCCCTGTGTGGGTCCTTAAATGTAAAGTAAGGCTACTGCTTACAGTGAAGCTCTTTCCACACTCCATGCATTTATATGGCTTCTCCCCGGTGTGAATTCTTTGATGTGAAGCAAGGCTACCGCTCACACTGAAGCTTTTTCCACATTCCAGGCATGTATATGGTTTCTCCCCTGTATGGGTCCTTTGATGTGAAGCCAGACTTCCACTTACACTGAAGCATTTACCACATTCCAAGCATTTATATGGTTTCTCTCCTGTGTGGGTTCTTGCATGTGCACAAAGACTCCCACTGTCAATGAAACTTTTCCCACACTCCAGGCATGTATATGGTTTCTCGCCTGTGTGGGTTCTTTGATGTGTAGCAAGACTACTGCTCACGCTGAAGCTTTTCCCGCATTCCATACATCTATACGGTTTCTCTCCTGTTTGTTTTCTGCAGTGTCCATTTAATATTGGTTCGTTTTTTAATATTCCTCCTCTACTAGAATATTTTCACTTCTCTTTCCTTTCTGATCTTGTGCAGCCAGAAGCTTGTGGATGCCAGCATCCTGAGAAGCGCTGGGCATGTTCACATTCTTGGAATGGTTTCCCTTGAGCCTCTTTTGTTCCATTTGATTTCCAAATATCTCTGTTCCGGCTTCAGCTTGGGTTGTTTCTAGTGACACCACAGATGGGTTCCTATAATTCACGCTGTCTTGCTCATCACCTGCTTGGGGGGTGGGGTGGAAATCCCATAAAGAGATTAATACAGTAACCAAAGATTTCAAAAAGCACAATTTTTAAAAACTCAAAAATCTCCCCTTCCTGAAACCTGTATCACCTTTTGAATATGCTACTGTCTCAGAAAATAACCTGAGTTCCTTTTGGTCCATTTCCTACTTGATTTCAATAGGTGTAAAAATGGTGGGTGAGGGGTTTTTTCCTTCTGTGATACAATTGTGATCTCAGTTTCTGCAACTTAATATAATAAGGGTGTTTGTGTGTATCAGAACCCCAGCAACATATGCACCCTGTATATTTATAAAGGACCTTGAAAGCGACGGAGAGGGTGGTGCAACTCTCCTGAGAGGAGATGTGACAATGAACCAAGCTTTATAGGCAAGAAAAATGGCAAATAAAGCAGGTATATGATGCAAATAACATAATACATGATGGAGAGAGAGATTAAGAGAGATTTTCTCCCCTTATCATAATACTATAACTCTGGGTCAGCCCAGGAAGCTGAATGTGGGAAGACTCAGGATGGCAAGAGAAAGTTCTTCTTCACATGACATAATTTAACTATGGAATTCGTTCCCATAAGAAGGCCTGGGCAGTGTGTGATTTCAGTGTGTGATTTCAGGCTGCAGGGCAAGTGCTCACGTTATGGAAGGCACACAAAAATGAAAATACAGTGGTACCTCGCAAGACGAATGCCTCGCAAGACGGAAAACTCGCAGAAGAAAGAGTTTTCCGTTTTTCGAGGTGCTTCGCCAGACGAATTTCCCTATGGGCTTGTATTGCAAGAAGAAAGCCCATAGGGAAATCTCCGGGGACCTCTTTTAAAATGCTGGCGGTCGGGAGCAAAGACTTTTGCCCACCGCCGGCCTTCAGAAGAGGTCCTGGAACTCTTCTGAAGGCCGGCGGGGGGCAAAAGTCTTTGCTCCCGACCGCCTGCCTTCCCGGGATAGCGGAGAAGCGCGGCGTGTTTCCTCCGCTATCCCGACGGCTTTTGAAGGCAGGCGGGGGGGAGCAAAGACTTTTGCCCCCTGCCGGCCTTCAGAAGAGGTCCTGGACTTCTCCGCTGTCCCGGGCGATCTTAAAATGCTGGCGGGCGGCAGCGAACCCTTCGCTGCCGCCCGCCAGCGAACCCTTCGCTGCCGCCCGCCAGCGAACCCTTCGCTGCCGCCCGCCAGCGAACCCTTCGCTGCCGCCCGCCAAGCGAACCCTTCGCTGCCGCCGCCAGCGAACCCTTCGCTGCCGCCCGCCAGCATTTTAAAATCGCCTCGGGATAGCGGAGGCTTCGCTGCCGCCCGCCAGAATTTTAAAATCGCCCCGGGACAGTGGAGAAGTCTCCGCTGTCCCGGGGGCTTTTAAAATGCTGGCAGTCAGCAGCAAAGCCCTCCTGTCCCCGGAGCTTGCGGGGCGGGAGGTGGGGAGAAGGGCTTTTCTTCCCACCACCAGCCTTCAGAACAGCCTTCTGAAGGCTGGCGGTGGGAAGAAAAGCCCTTGTCCCCCCCCCAAGCCTTCAGAAGAGGTCGGGGGACAGACTGTCCCCGGACCTGGTCTGAAGGCGGTTTCCATAGGAACGCATTGATTGATTTTCAATGCATTCCTATGGGAAACCGTGCTTCGCAAGACAAAAAACTCGCAAGAAGAAAAAACTCGCGGAACGAATTAATTTCGTCTTGCGAGGTACCACTGTAAAAGAAAGCAACGCATCTGTTCACACACACAAAGCCAGCATTGTCAGGGACACAGCTTGGTAAGACTTGCTCCCTGATAGCTAGCTTTCCACATGCATTGATATTTTTCTTTTCTTTTTTGCAATGGGTGTGTGAAAGGGAGGATTAAATTTCACTTGATTCCTACCAAGAACCTGAGGTTTACACCTCATCTACTGTTTGGGAGAAAAAGGCTGCAGCAGGAGGATACAGCATTACACTCACATCCATGCAAACATCACTCTCCTTCAATGGAAGTGTACGTGTTTGTGTACGTGTGTGTGTGTGTGTGTGTGTGTGTGTGTGTGTGTGTGGCAACAGCCAAGGCCAGGTCTAACACAGTGTAGCAGCGAAGGCATGTCCAGAGCACATGGCCCAGCCTCCTATTTCCACACTGGCATCCCTACAGGGCCCTGAGAAATATCACAAAAAGGACCAACAGTGGGTGATCTTGGGTCAGTAGCTGCCTCTAAGCATAACCTACATCACAGGGTTGCTGTAAAGATAAAATGGGGAGGAGGAGAGCTATGTACACCTGGAGGAAAGGTGGGACAGAAATATAATGTTGTTGTTGTTTAGTCGTTTAATTGTGTCCGACTCTTCGTGACCCCATGGACCAGAGCACGTCAGGCACTCCTGTCTTCCACTGCCTCCCGCAGTTTGGTCAAACTCATGTTGGTAGCTTCGAGAACACTGTCCAACCATCTCGTCCTCTGTCATCCCCTTCTCCTTGTGCCCTCCATCTTTCCCAACATAAACATGTATCAACCAAGGAAAAGGAATCCTTACCCAGAGTGGCCATATTCCCACAATTCTCTGGCATGGCTTTCTTGAACAGCTCTTTAGCCTGGATCGAGGAGATCTCACTCCACTTTGGTGAAATACACAGCTGCCTCCTCAAAGGATTCTAGCCCCTGAAAAAATAAAGAAAATTCTCTATTATGAAATAAACGCCCATGGACATAAAAAAATATTACTATGGTTCCCAGAAAAGAATGAAAGGGTGCTATAACTGAAGAGATTTGTGTCTAGTTTTTATTTGATTATTAATATTTCTTTCATTTCTATACTACCCTTGCTCAAAGGGTGGTTTACGAACATAAAAGCACAGAAATGCATACCACAGTAACAAGCAATAACAATAAGCCTCCCTGCAAATATTATTATTTCAATTGTGCAGGAGTCAAGACTTCATGAGAGAGAGCTTGAAGATTATACACCCTTCTCAGCTGGTTCACCTTAATATCTTGCAGTTCCAAAAAATGAAAGAGACAAATCCTTTCAGACACACACTCACAACAAAGCAACATGTCACCTCCACACCATACATTTAAAACACATTCAAAGCACATGGCTTTCCCCAAGGTATCTTGGGGGTAGTAGTTTGTTAAATTCAGTGGGAAGGGGAACACTACCGTTCCTAGGACTTGTTGGGCGTATCCATGGTGCCCCTCACAAGGATACATTTTACAACTGGTTTAAGTATGACTGAAGAAGCAAAAATAAAAAAAATACTTGTGATCTATTGTGGTGGATGAGAGGCTCACAACCCATCCAGAATGACACTGTTCAAAACCTCTCAGTCACTTTGCACAAGCCAAAGCTCAAAAAGCCACAACATCTGCAGCAGCTGTGCACCATCACAGTACTTACTGTGTGGTGTAGTAGTTAAAAGCGGTAGTCTCATAATCTGGTGAACTGGGTTCACGTCTCTGCTCCTCCACATGCAGCTGCTGGGTGACCTTGGGCCAGTCACACTTCTCTGAAGTCTCTCAGCCCCACTCACCTCACAGAGTGTTTGTTGTGGGGGAGGAAGGGAAAGGAGATTGTGAGCCGCTTTGAGACTCCTTCAGGTAGTGATAAAGCGGGATATCAAATCCAAACTCTTCTTCTTCTTTTCACAATGAATGTTTGGCAGCAGTTCCTGTATTGTGGTATGCGTTAGAATATCCATTATTTTTATATATTAAAATAGTAAATATATTATTATTATTATTGTTGTTGTTGTTGTTGTTAATAAGAATAATAATAAATTATTTTTATATTTAAAAATAATAACAAAAAATCCAAAACAAAGGAAAGGTATCCAGTTGACCCCTTACAGGTTTTATTATTATTATTATTATTATTATTATTATTATTATTAAGCTCACAGGATTAAATGCTGGTCTATGACTGTAATAAACTGACTGAATCAAATAAAGCACTAAGCACTCTGGTTAAGTTGCCTCTGATTTTTACCTAGTGCAAATAACATCAAGGTGGAAATTGAAAAAGAAACACACTTGAAAGCTAAATGAAGGAAGTTCTTTTTTTTTTTTAGTTGGTACCCAAACGACCTGCAGAGCTTAGAGGGGGGGGAGGTTAATAGCTGTCAGCTTTTCCCTTTTCTTGCGAGGAATCCTATTCGGAATATGGAATCCTATTTGGAATTTCTCTTAAAAAAAGGGAAACGTTGACAGCTATGCGAAGGTTACCCACAGAATCATAGAGTTGGAAGGGATCACGTCCAGCCCGCTTGCTTTTTGCCACCTTCGCTCACTGAAGACAGTCCACGAGAACACCCAGCCACCCAGTCCCTGAGCTCAGCTTTGCATCACTCTCAGCCTGCAGGTCTCCTCAGCTCCCTCTCAGTGAGGACTGAGCTATTCTTGGGTTGGCAACGGAGGGTGAAGCATTCAAGAGGCTCTTGCAATGGAAAGAATGCAGATATTTGGGGCCCACTTTGGATTTGGACACATCAACCCCCCATGACCTACCTCCCCTTGCTGCAGAGCGCAAAACTGTGGCGGGGTTGCCCCCTTCCTTGCAATTTGGGGTGCCCCCTCCCTGCCGCCTCTCAGGTTGTTTCTGCTGCGTTTGCAGCACCCAAGTGGCCTTCCGGGGGGGGGCGCAAGCCTGGGCCGTGTTTCTGGAGGTCCTGGGGTGCCCAGGAGACACGACCCCCTCTCAGCCTCTCTGATGTGCTGCAAAGGAAAGCAGAGCCATGCATTTGATACCAGCTGGGCTGCAGCAGTTGCCAGGGGGAGGCATACAGGATCCAAGCATCTTTCAGCCAACGCTGAGGCTTTACCTCTTTGATCTCAGGAGGCTCAGTCCCTCTCCTGGAACATAAAAAGGAGCGTGCTTTACTATTGCCTTGCCCACTTCGCTTTCTTTCCCCAGCACTCCCCACCTCTCTCTCTCTCTCTCCTGCCTCTCTAGGAATCTCAACTCAATTGATTTAACCTCTGGAGCGCCGGGCAGTACTCTCTCTCTCTCTCTCCCATGTCGCATTCTGCAAACCTTCACAATTCTGAGCGGTTTTAACGGTCAGGGTACTCCAGGAATTGTAGCTCTGGCAGGGGAATGGGAGGTCTGCCAGCAGCCCTCAGCACCCAGAGCAAACTACAGGAGGAGGCAGCCAGCCAGCAAAAATTAGGGCAGGAAGGTTGGCACAGGAAAAGATGTAGGAAACAGTGTTAGATTGCCTGCTATTCCCCACCCTGAGATCCCCACCACCACCACACACAACCCTGTCCATTAAAAAGTCACCACCTCAGCTGGAGAAGGGCCTCCAAGGCCCAGCTGCCTGGCATTCTCAATCACCTGGCAGGAGTAGAGCTGTTCTTGCTCCTGTTGCTGGAATGCAAAAGTCAGGCTGTCAGTTCCTTGCAATGTGTTCCATTCAAAATACCCCCATTCTCCTCAGTTGGAAAAGAGCCGCCAAGGCCAAAATCAGGCGGCAATCTTCAAAGCACTTCAGGTGCCCCAGGATGTTCTGGAAGACAGCAGAGAAGAAAAGTAAGCTGGAGATGCCCCTTCAGCTCCTGGGGGGGGGGGGGGGAGAGAAGAGAGGTTGAGTCCTGGGTCAAATGTGTGAAACAGAAGTTGGAGCCATGCAAGGAGAAGTCAAGACAAAGGATATGTATGGGGCTAGCACTCTACGTGGGGCTACCTTCCAATCGGAAGCTGTGCTTTGGTTTCCAAACGTTTTGGAAGTAGAACGGACTTCCGGAATGGATTCCGTTCAACTTCCAAGGTACGACTGTACTACTTCCAGAGGTGGGTTTAGAGGGGTCCCACTGGTTCACCCACACTGGGTGCCAAGCCAAGAAGGAATTTTATTTATTTATTTTTGTTTAAACAACATTTATATACCCCTTGCTGGTAATAAAAAAGAATTTAAGATGCTATAAAACAGTAAACTTGCTTGCCTAAACAATTAAAATAATTAACAGGATTGCCTGAACAAAAAAAAGGTTTTAAACAGGTGCCAAAGAGTTCAGTAAATGTGCCTTCCTGGGGTCAATAGGCAGGGAGCCGACCACACTAACATGCTGATTTCTCCCTATATGGGACAGCTGCATATTCCTGCACTGTAGCGGGGTTGGACTAGATGATCTTTAGGGTCCCTTCCAAGTCTACAATTCTATGATTCAACAAGTGTCTCGTCAGCCACACTTTATGACTCCTTTCACGAGCCAGGTAGGACAGCTTTTGTATTGTGAACTCTTTTAAAGTGTCTCTGTGGCAGCATCCAGTAGCTGAGGAGGAAGAAGAAAGGGGCACTAAGAGATGCGGAGGGAATGAATAAAGCTCTCTTTGAGAATTGTTACAATTTATTTCTTATGGTTAGAAGGGTAGACAGGAAAACAGGATGCCTGTACCCTAGCCTTAACTGGCCTTGTCTCATACACAAATGTGGAAAGTTAATCCCTCTCCTAAACTAATTCCACTACTTTGAGGACATAAGCTTTGTCCGGCTGCTTTTTTTCAGTTAAGTACTTTTTAAAACTAATAATCTGTTGTTGGCATCCATCCGTCTTGAGACACAATGGAGTGTGCCTCTAGAGGTGAAGCCAAACTGCTGCACTAGGAACATCAAGCCAGCGGGCAAGCCTGGGCAGTGCGTATGGAGATCCTGGGCTGCCCAGATGACAAGACTCAGCCATTTACCTTCCTGCCAGAGTGGTACCTATTTATCTACTTGCACTTTGACGTGCTTTCGAACTGCTAGGTTGGCAGGAGCAGGGACCGAGCAACGGGAGCTCACCCCATCGTGGGGTTTCGAACTGCCGACCTTCCAATTGGCAAGCCCTAGGCTCAGTGGTTTAGGCCACAACACTACCCACGTCGCTTCATTAGAAAAGATAGACCTCTTTTATTAAGGTAGCTTTGTGATCACTCAGGCATCATTATCTCAGGACCTAGTAATGTCAGCAGCAGCATCAAAGGTTTGTTCCCCTGCTCATCTTCCAATGTGGTATATGCTACCAATTGCCACCATTACCTCTCTGCATTCCACATGCAAACTGGTCAGCATTTACACAGAAAAATAAAGCGATGGCAACCTGAAATCAGAAAGACCAGTGTTGAGAAATTGGGTTAGCTTCTGAACTTTCTCAAGACTCTGGCCGTTCATTACCACACGGATCTTGTTTTCAAAAAAATACACGTTCAAAGTTTCACAATTCACCACTTGACTCTTTTATTGTGTATTTAAAGCATAAATGTTAGTAGTGAAGTTCTCAGGTGCAACTGATCCTTTTTTTTTTATTACATCTCAACCGCTACATTAAAAATGGACCAAACACAAATCACCAACAACCTCTAATCTCTAAAGTAACTTTGACAGGAAATGCAATTTTCAAAGGATGGAGTTCTGTGACGCACCATAACAAATGTTTCATTTGCACAAGCATTCCAGGTAGCTGGTTGCAACACCCCCCCTCCCCCTATGCTCTGCTCTGGGGTTTCTCCTGAACTGCCGCTTCAGCCAATTTTGGGGGCTTGGGTGGGGGCCACCCCCATTACACAACATCTGCTGATGGGATTGATTAGGTGAATCTCAACCAGTGTTGGAAAGTGTGCAGTGGGTCTCAGAAATGCACCTAAGAAATAGATCAAGTATAAGAAAACTAGGAGAGATGGAAAATCAGCCACCATATATATTTCGGCTACTTCTACACCATCTAATAGCAGGAGCTTTTTTAAACTTGGTCCCCTCTCTCCAATACAGACTGGTCACACATTTCCTTCCCCCATTAATTACTGCAACGCATTATTAGTCTCACTGCTTCCTTTCTCAAATCTGCCCACTCAAATCTTCTGCTAATTTAATCTACACTGTCCAACTTTACAACCGATTATTTCCTACTATTCATATCCTCTCTTTCTAATCCACCCCATTAACCTTAGATGTGGGTTACATTTTCCAAAGACATTTACCATGCAATGTGTGTTCCCAATAGACAACCTTTCTTACTGCACAAATAAAAACTGTAAGCCAAAGAGCAAATTCTAGTGGAAGCACACTGATGGAAGGGATAATGCCCAGAAGCATGAGTGAGGAATACCTACTGTATTTGCGGGAAACAGAGAAAAGCATAATCTTAATAAATCCTAAAATATCAAAGAATTTGTCACAGAAGCATGCCAGTGGGTTCTCATCTGCGTAGGTTCTCTGAAGTCTAAGAAGATTTGTGTTGATTCTGAATCACATGCATCCCAGACGTTTCTTCCTTATGTGGATTATTTGATGTCCCCGTGAAACTCATTTCATATACCATACATTCATATGGCTTCCTCCCTGTGTGGGTTCTTTCCTGCGTAGCAAGTCTGCTCTCAGAGTGCATGTATTTAAATAATTTCACTCCTGCCTGCATAAAATAAGAAGCCACGCTATCTAAATCTTTCTTAATTTATACATTTGTTATTTCTTCCCTGTGTTTTTTGAATATTTCGTAACCATTTTGCTGTGCTCTTTCCACTACCCGGGGATTTATAGTCTCTCTTATGCAATTTCTTTTGATCCATACTAAGATCTTTATGGATCATGGGTCATATTAGAGTTGGAATACAACTTCTGTGGGAAGCCAGGGTGGGAAAGGCTTTCTTAGGCATTTATATTATTCTCACATTTTTTGCTGCCAAGAAAGTTTTCAATCAAGACTGAAGCTTGGTTCAAACTCCATGCATTTATATAGTTGTTTCTTTGTGTGGGTTCTTTGATGGGTAGTAACACTTCCACTCTGACTGAAGCTTTTTCCACACACTAAGCATTTATATGGTTTCTCTCCTGTGTGAGTTCTCTGATGTGAAGTAAGGGTGCTGCTCACACTAAAGCTCTTCCCACATATCATGCATTTATAAGGTTTCTCCCCTGTGTGGGTTCTTTGATGTTTAGTAAGGTTTCCACTATCATGGAAGCATTTCCCACACATTAAGCATTTATATGGTTTCTCCCCTGTGTGAGTTCTTTGATGTGTATTAACGTGTGCACTCTGGCTAAAACATTTTCCACACTCCATGCATTTAAATGGCTTCTCCCCTGTGTGGGTTCTTTGATGTGAACTAAGCTTTTCACTATTAATGAAGCTCTTTCCACACTCCACACATTTATAAGGTTTCTCTCCTGTATGGGTTGTTTGATGTGTTTTCAGGTTTGCACTTTGGCTGAAGCACTTTCCACACTCCATACATTTATATGGTTTCTCCCCAGTGTGGATTCTTTGATGTAGAGTAAGGCTACCACTCACACTGAAGCCTTTTCCACATTCCATGCATTTATATGGTTTCTCCATAGTGTGCATTTTTTTATGTTTAGTAAGGCTTCCACTGCCATGGAAGCACTTTCCACACAGTAAGCATTTATATGGTTTGTCTCCTGTGTGAGTTCTTTCATGTGTTTTTAGATTTACGCTCTGGGTGAAGCACTTTCCACACTCCCTACATTTATATGGTTTCTCACCTGTGTGGGTCCTCTGATGTGTATTTAGGTTTGCACATTGGCTGAAGCACTTTCCACACTCCATACATTTATATGGTTTCTCCCCAGTGTGGATTATTTGATGAGCGATAAGGCTATTGCTCACACAGAAGCCTTTTCCACATTCCATACATTTATAAGGTTTTTCCCCTCTGTGGATCCTTTCATGTGAAGTGAGACTTCCGCTATCACTAAAGCACTTTCCACACTCTGTACATTTATACGGTTTCTCTCCTGTGTGGGTTCTTTGATGTTTAGTAAGGTTACAGCTGACACTGAAGCTCTTTCCACATTCCATACATTTAAATGGTTTCTCTCCTGTGTGGGTTCTTTGATGGATTGTAAGGTTACCACTCACACTGAAGCCCTTCCCACATTGCATGCATTTATAGGGTTTCTCCCCTGTGTGGGTTCTGCGATGATTATTTAGTGTTGATTTGTCTTTGAACATTTTCCCGCACACTGGACACTTTTTCACTCTTTCAGTATCTGGTGGAAGTTGAGGGTGTTCTGCACATGGAGAAGCAGAGTATTTCTTCCTCCAATTCTTTGACCGCTTTCTGTCCTGCCTTTTTGATGTCCTTTGGTTTCCAAATGTATTCTTCCCCACTTCATGCTTGATTGTTTTCAGCGAATCCAAAGATGGCTCCTCGTGAATCTCATTATCCTTCGCATCACCTGCTTGGGAAGAAGAAAGGAAAGGGAGGGGGAATGTTATTCAGTTATTCAGCTATTTCCCAGACACTGAGGTTCTGAGGCAAGATGTTACAGAACAGAATGAAAGAAGAATTTTGGTCCAGAAAATCACTTGTCTATAACAGTGTTTCCCAATAATTACTCTGGTTTCTCCCTGCAGAGCTGTTCTGCTCTGTGTTCCATTAAAAAAAAAAAAAGAATTTAGACATTCATTTGCGTATTTTTCCTTCCCTCCAAATCCATTTCCCTTTTGCCTTTTCAAACTGCAAATCTGAGGCAGGGACTGACTCACTTCTTTTAGCCATATGTATGGCCACTCTGAGAGTCTTTATTTTGGCTGAAGAATAGGATAAACAAACTAACTAATGAAGGAGTATGATTACCAGCCAGCAATAAAGACATCTGTTTATATGTGCGTATGACTGCATATTCATGGAATACTTGACTTCAGGAATAATTCTGAATTATGTTTTATTTATTTTCTAGCTGTAATCCACAACACCTCACCAGCAACAGGCAACACAGCAGATGAGACTTAGCAATGTTTGGGAAAGGAGATTGCTGGAACCTGCTGCTCTTGTTTATCAGGTTCAAACCTTTAAAAAAATTAATAAATTAAAGTTTTCCATATTAGCACAGTTCTATGATCCTACCTCTTATTCTGCTCTTTTAGATGCAGCAGACATTTTGTGTTATGCCATGCCAAAAGAGCAATTTTACGCTATGCCACACTTCCACAGGGACATTTTTGTGACTAGAGCTCACAACACATTCTCATAATTCTGAATGTGTCCAGGGCTCCAACAAGATTTAGCCACCACTGACCTCAAAGAGTCCCTGAATGTTATGCTGATGCCTGGGCTGGTCACTCCTCCCAGAACCGCCCAGTTTGCCAAATGTAGCTTGCACCAGTGAAGAATCACAGAGAAGAGGGCTCAAGTAGCAAGTTGGGAAGTCCCATATTTATAAGTCTGAAAGGGCCTTTGAGTGGAAAGAGCCACAGGGGAAATGCCTGAATGACTAGCAAATTAGGCAAGGAATGTCTAAAGTAACTAATAAGGACAAGGATGGAAATGTCAAAGCGGCTATTAAAGGTCAAAAATACTATATTCTGTAACAGAAACACCACACTGCACTGAGCCTGAATGATCAAGGCATTACATTCCTCATAGAGAGAGAGAGAGAGGGAGGGAGGGAGAGACCAGGTGGATAGTCAGTCTCTCACTGATTGAAATTGGAATTAATTTTGATTGGTTCTCCTGTTGGAACAAAACACACATTCATAGACTCACTTAAGTGTAATCTTGCTTCTTTGAATCCTGTCATGCAATAACCATTGTAGGGTTACTTATTTAAAAATTGTTTAGATTTTACACTCTCCAAGTTTTATTTACATATAATGTACTTTTGATTTCTCTATCAAATAGTTTTCTTTTATTCGGCATAACAAACCACACATTATCAAACAGACACCGTATACAAATTATGCAAAATACAAGCTCAGCATAATAAGGTTTGTCCCGGTCAGATCTTTAACTCCAGAGAAAATCAATTTGCATAAATAATACAGTACAGCACTACTGCACTACTGAATCCCTGGTCAATTAAGAACCACTAATTCTCTTTATAATGACCCAGTCTTTCTACATGGACAGCACTCAAAAATTCAGCCACTATTAAAGTAATTTGATCATTCCTGTCCGAAGGCAGGTCCTGAACCCTTGGTAGCGTAGATATCAGCCTATTGAGTTGTAAGGCCTCTAATAATTGTCTTCTGGCATAAATGCCAAAATCACAAGAAAAGAAAATATGCTCCAAAGTGTCTGTTTCCCGTTTACTACATTACAGAGACACTCTGATTCTGGGAGAGCTAAATATCTTCCTCTCACTATCATCGAGGGAAACATATTAAATCTGGCTTGAAGAAGGAACTGGAGGAATTTTACCCTTATGCTTTTCATATAATCAGTTATCCATATAATCAGTTATCAGTTTTTCAATATATTCATTTATAACCAGATATTTTTATAATGATTTTATAATCCATGTTTGAATCGTGAAAGCTTCTGCTTAGCTTAGCAAATTGCTTAAATCTGCAAAGTCTTAGATGAACTTTGTCCCAGTACTTCCTTGTTCTCTCTCTATCTCACCGAACAAGAAGGGAAGCGATAAATCTGATGTGCTGGCGCATTTCCTCCCTTTGTCCAGACAAAGTCTGTACAGTGGAAACAGGAAACCGCAGAATGTCCCTTATAGCAGATGGTCTGTAGGAGCTCAACAGCCGAAGTTCCTCTTTGCCCTAAGTTTCTATTTCTTGCAATAAATCTAGGGGAAAGGTCGGACTGGTGTTCAAACTAAAAAGCAGAAGTTGGGAGAGAACTCTTTGTACGGTCAGGAGCAAGGCTTGTATGCGCTCATTAGCTTATTTGGCTGCCGTTTGCAATTGTATCCCATTATGTCATTATCTGTGATGTATGTACTCAGGTATAAAGCCCCAGGGCAATAGATCTCGAGGCCCAGTCTTTTGGAAAGGATTCCACTGGGTCAATTATTGCTCAGCAATAAAGCTCACTTTCTTTTTCTCCAATTGCTGCATCTGTCAATTCTTGGACTCTATTTGAGTTGGTCACTGGTACCTTTTAAAATCCTTCCAACAGGCTAACATAAACAGCCTGCACAATTCATGATTCTTCAGATTTCTCATAATATTTGTCATAATATTGTCTTTTCATAACATGAGCTGCATTCACTGGTCCACTGCTGATACATTTAAAATAAAACTTTATTAAAGGGTTTTAGCCTCTGGGCCACAAGGATATAGAAAGAGCTCTGCTGGATGAGGCCAGTGGCCCATCTAGTCCAGCACCCTGTTCTCACAGTTGCCAGCCTGATGCCTGTTGGGAACCTGCAAGCAAATGAGAACCCTCTCCTCCTGAAGTTTCCAGAAGTGGTTTGCAGAAGCACTAAAGGTAAAGGTAAAGAGACCCCTGATCATTAGGTCCAGTCGTGACTGATTCTGGGGTTGCGGCACTCATCTCGCTTTATTGGCCGAGGGAGCCAGCGTACAGCTTCCGGGTCATGTGTCCAGCATGACTAAGCCGCTTCTGGTGAACCAGAGCAGCGCACGGAAACACCGTTTACCTTCCCGCCAGAGCAGTACCTATTGATCTACTTGCACTTCGTCGTGCTTTCGAACTGCTAGGTGGCAAGAGCAGGGACCAAGCAATGGGAGCTCACTCCGTCCTGGGGATTTGAACCGCCAACCTTCTGATTGGCAAGCCCTAGGCCAGGGGTCTGCAACCCGCGGCCCCGGAGCCGCATGTGGCTCTTTTACACCTTTGCCGCGGCTCCGGGGCGGATACTAGCGAGGGGAGGAGGCGCATTGTGCGCCCTGACACTCCCCACTGTGACGGGCGCCTTACTGGCTGTGACGTCGCATGGGACGGGCGTGCGTTAGTCACGCACCGTCCCGACGTCACCTTCCCGGTTTTGCGGCTCCCCAGTTTTTTTCCCCTTCGGAAACGGGTCCAAGTGAGCTCCTTTTTTGTCTTAAAGGTTGCACGACCCCTTGCCCTAGGCTCTGTGGTTTTAGACCACAGCGCCACCCCGCTGCCTCCAAATTTGGAGGCAGAGCATAGCCATCATCGCTAACTTGGCCATGATAGTCTTCTCCTCATGAATTGCTCAATACTTCTTTTAAAGCCATCTAAATTGGTGGCAATCACTGCCTTCTGTGGCCCCTGTTTGGTCACCACTCGCTTGCCCACTGGTGTGATTTAAGAACTTCATTTTCAATACCATCCAAGGGGGAAAAGACAGTCTTACCTACAGATGCCGTGTTCTCATTGTCTTCTGGCATGACTTCCTTGTGAAGAGATCTATGCTGTGAATTTTGGAGATCTCACCCACCTTGGTGAAATACACAGCCACTGGCTCAAAGTACACCACCCACTGAAAGAAAGAAGAAAGAAAGAAAGAAAGAAAGAAAGAAAGAAAGAAAGAAAGAAAGAAAGAAATATTCTCTAATCAGAAATAATATATTCCTGAACTCTATATTTCCATTGAGTTCTTGCATTTCAATATTCACCACTAAATGCCATTTCTTATACCTGCTTATTCAGAAATGTTTTAGCTGTCCATTTCAGCCGGGATCCAGTAACCCTCATTATATGATAGATGCACAGATTCTCTGGACTTTGTTTTTGAGCTGTTTACACACCCCATGCTTTAAAGGGGTTTTTGTCATCTACAGTACTATACATAATTAACTTATGGAATTTGCTGTCTTAACTTGTATGAGCTGGCACGAGCTTGGATGTCCTTAAAAAGGAGATAAAACCAGGTAACAGAGTTTCAGTATACTGTGACCCAGAATGGCCCTGCCCCTTCACACCTCCTTGACAGCATCAATGTCCAGAAATTGCACTTTTACAAGTCACTCTTTTGATGAGGCAGCAGCTGTGCTTTGGGAAATTAGGCAGGTATCCTTACTATATAATTTAGTTACGTATAAAAAGGAAAAGGTACCCCTGCCCGTACGGGCCAGTCTTGCCAGACTCTAGGGTTGTGCGCCCATCTCACTCAAGAGGCCGGGGGCCAGCTTGTCCGGAGACACTTCCCGGGCCACGTGGCCATCGCTCGCTGCATCTGGCGAGCCAGAGCCGCACACGGAAACGTCGTTTACCTTCCTGCTAGTAAGCGGTCCCTATTTATCTACTTGCACACTGGGGGGGTGCTTTCGAACT